GTGTTGAATTAAAGTTTGGAGCCATTTCTTCTTTCTTTGTATAGAGCTAGATGAAAGAATGTTGTTTGTTTGTTTGGTGGCTGAAACAAACCCCCTTCTAGCTCCTTCTCCTTCCAAGTAATTTTTTCAAGTGAAATGAAATATTTTATTCAATACAAAATGGTTCTTTGTTTTCAAGTGTTCTAAGGCTTTGTAACCCTTTTAAAATAAATAATATAGCAAAGTTAGATCGCACTGTCATTTTGACACACAAATTTAAATGTTTATATTTTTTCCAGTTTTTCTCAGTCAAAAGTATTTCCTGAATTTCGTATGAAATTGCAAATGCAGTGTTCTCCATTTATATGAATATCACATGAGTGCATAATTTGCTTAACTGTATAACACATTGTCATTCCCATTTTTTAAAATTGTTGCTTATATTTTAACAATATTTAGTTATCTGCATATTGGTTAAATGCATAAACTGGCATAAGTGCATAGCATATTTCAGCTGTTTATTTTGGAACAGTATTAAACATCGTTTAACTCAGGGGTGGGCAATTTTTTTCAGTTAGAGGGCCACTTAATGAGTTTTGGTGAGCTGTCGAGGGCCACAAGGGTAGCCCTGCCCCTTGACAGGTGCTCCATCCCCTGGTCACCATCTTGGGGCTGGAAGTCCTGCCCTAACCCCTGACCTTTGGCACTGGAAGGCCCTCCCCTTTCCACTGGAAATATTCCTTTTGCCATCTTGGAACTAGAGAAAAAACAAATCATATACTAAAAGTCAAGTGTCTACTATAACATTTTAATTTTATTTCAAAAAAATATTTTTGTCTTGAATTATGTGTGTTTGAATAGTGTATATAGAGGTGATTGCATAATAGCTCAAAAATGAAGTCTTACCCTTGTGTATTGTGTTGGGGCAAGTGTGTGGGGTATGGGTGGCGGGGTGTGGGGTTTGTGAGGGAGTCTGGCTGTGTGTGGGGGGTGTAGGGTATGTTGCAGTATGTACGTATATGTGGGCAGTTTGTGAGGGAGGGTGGAGGAGTGTGGAGCCTCCTACACACACTCCCCCCCCATGGTGCAAAGCCACCACTATGCAGGCACTACCACCTGGCGATGCATGGGTCCAGCCAGTTCCAGGAGTGGCATGTGGCGGCAAGGAACAGAACCAGGCTGCCCCACCTCTATCATGCAGGGCTCCCTGCAATGTACATGCAGCTTCTGGTACTCTTGTGCCACCAGGGGGGAAAGCCCTGTGCAATGGAGCCAACTGCTTTGCCTGTTCCCTGCTGCCGTGTGCAGCTGTTGGAACTCCCCATGCTCTGCACTCCCACCCAGCTTCAGTTTCCACCCTGTCCTGCCTGCCATTGCTTTCCTACCTGCTTCTCAGAGTGAGTGCTGAAACAGGGACAGGAGGAGGAGCCACTGGAGGCTGGGAAAGCCAAGCAGGTCCCCTGGCAGTTTCAGCAGTGGCAGTAGCAGCCCTGTGCAGAAGCTGTGCATGCTGGCTGGGTCAGGGCCCTCCCATGCGCAAGGGTGGGAGCAAGGGGCCCAGCTTGGGTGGGAGTACAATTAATTGGTGGGTGCCCATGGGCAAAATGAAATGACCTCGTGTACCGTGTTTTGCCCACTACTGGTTTTACTGCATAGCAATTATGCCAGAAACAGTAGACAAAGCAACTGTCAAAACACTGTTAATCAGAGGCTTTGAAAAGGATGACTGGCTAGTCAGTTCCAGGGCTGCTCTCTTCTCTGATTTTGAAGGCTTGTAATAGCAGCCCTGAAATTGACTAACTCCAGTCAATTTCAAAGCTTCTAATAACTGCTCTGAAAGTGACTACAAAAAGCTTTGAAAATGATGGGAGCTAATCTGTTTTGCGGCTCCTAATAATGCAGTAACCACAGTGTTATATACTTAATTAGTGTGGCTTCCATTAAGTTTGAATAAATGTGTACTCCAGGTAACTGCATTGCAAGTCATGTACATGTAAATAGAGTACATTGTAGTATGAGTTGAACTACAAGTGAAATTCCGTATAAACTATTAGTCCAAAATATTTTGTCCAGCTCTACCTCTTTAAGAACTATTTAATACATCTTCGCTCTAACTCCCCTTTCAGGTCTTCACTGGATGTGTCTACCCCAGATGCTTTACTGCACAGTAGACTAATCTACTGTATAGTTAAGCATCAGTATCTACATGTTCACACCATTCACTGCGTAGTAAATTAGTCTACTGTACAGTTAGTTACTACCTTTAAATACAGGTATTAAACTAACTGTGCAGTAGATACTGCAGATGTGTAGACACTGACCGGAAGCAAATTTGCTCCATCAGCCCTAAAACTAGGGGGCCACAGGGGGTGGGGAATTCCCCTGGTCCTGGTGCTACTCAGGTCCTAGCTCCTCCCAGAAGCTGGGAGCAGAGCAGCGCCTGAACAGGGTAGTTTTTTGCCCCACCCCCTCTCTTCCCAGTACTGCTCAGCTCCTGGCTCCCCACAGGAGCTGGGAATCGAGCAGTGCCAGGACTTGGGAGCTCCCTGCATTCCCATGCATCCTGGAGCTGGCTGGGAGCTGCTCCAGAAGGCGCAGTTCCCAGCCAGCCCCAGGCTGCTTGGGGAAATCCAGCCCAGGGAAGGCCCACTGGGCATGGGGCTTGTCCCCATGTGCACAAGCCAGGACAGCTCTGCAGTGGCAGCTGTCTCCTGGCATTGTGCACATCAGGACCCTTCCCCATGTGTACAGGGCAAGGAGACAGCTGCTGCTGCAGCCAGCAAATCTCTCTTGACTCCATGCTCATGGGGACTGGCTCCATGCTCCCTACCAGCCACTGGGCTAGCACCCCAGGGGAGCCTGGAGCTCCTCCTGGTTGTTTCAGGGGGGCAGAGCAGGATAGGAGCAGCCCAGTACTTGGCTGCTCCTGTTGGGAGCAGATTTGCCCCCAGAAGGGGGCACGTGTTGACATGATCCCAGGGAAGGCTTACTGCACAGTATTTTACTGCGTAGTAAGCCTTTATAGCATTCATAGCATCTGTAGACATGCCCACTGTGATAAAGCGTTTGTCAAATGCATGTTTGGAAGTCCTATCATTTTGTGATGGATCTTATAGGAATAACTGTGTCTATATCAAACCAGTTAAAAAGACAGATACTTAAACATGTAAGTAGCATCTGTAACTTATGTGTATTGTTTTGTTTTTTTCTTTTCTTCCTTTTCTTGTCAGGTTTGTACATTGACAAAGGAAGATAACCGTAAAGTGGGGGTGATACCAAATGATGAACAGTTACATGTGTTACCTCTTTACAAAATTTCACAAACAGATGAATTTGGCACAGAGGAGGGATTGCAAGCCAAGATAAAAGCTGGAGCAATACAGGTGCTTACAGCTTTTCCCAGAGAAGTACGAATGTTGGCAGAGCCACTTAGAGCTACAAAGAAAAAGAAACCAGATACAAGGAGAACACCAGCTGAAAAACAGGTATTAGTGGAAAAGAAATATTCAGCACCATTAAAGATGAAAAATGAAGCCCCTGAAAATCTCAGTAACACTTCACATTATTTAGGTAAGTGACACTTATTACTCTCTACCATTATCCTTTCATGCTTTGCTCTGTATCTTATTTCATTCCTACAAAAACTGTCCTTCCTTAACATTCACTTTTTCAAAATTGTTTGCATCTAGCACCTTTCCTAGACTAATGAAGAAGTCGTCATTTTCACTACAGAAGGGTGTAGTCAATCATACAGTAACTTATGCATGATGGTATTGTCAACATTATAGATAAAATCTTTTCATTGTCGCTATATCAAAGTCCATTTATTCTAATAAATAATGACCAGGGAAGAATCTGGGCCTATTATCTTGGGAAGATCATGCTCATGTCTGTTATTCATATTGAGATGTCCAAACATTATTTCCCACCATATTGTATGGGGGGCGTTTTGTAATGTTATTCTCTTTGTAAAGAGTTCAGGTGACAATAATTTTCTACCTTGTGTAACATGGATTTTGTAAAAAAGCAGTAAGTGATTTACCAAAGGCAGCTTATTATACCAGATTCATGGTAAAAGTAATAATTTTATACCTGAATATCTCTGTGGAGTTGCCTTGGACCAATGATTCTTGACCAGGGTGATGCAAAATCTTTTTAAGGATGATGTGAAGTACCATGCATTATTAATACAGTTAGGTGTGCAAACACTGTCAAGATAAACCCAGAGATTTCAAATAGGAATCCATAATGTCAAAAACATTCTGACCTGTTGTAGTCTTTCTGAGTTCTTTGCAAGAGAAGAATTGCTCTGTTATTTTTCCATTGTCAAAAAAATAAGTGAAAGCTAGGAGCCAGAATTTTCCAAGGAGTGTCTAGAGGCTACAGAGTTTGAGAATTGAGCCTTAGACTTGCACTGCTTAACATGTGATCAGAATGGCTGCTTGCAAATGTTAGGAAAAGAAGTGGCACTTTAAATTCCACACTCTCCCGCATCAAGCCCAGCACATGCCCAGAAGAAGCAGTGTGTTAGTTGGACTAGGCTTGGCCAATGTCTCTCTTCATCAGAAACTTTTAGTAGGGCTTTTTTTAGCTTTTTTATCTAATAGCTGATTGACTCAGCTATTAGATAAAAGCACCAAAAAGCCCTGCTGAAGCACCCAATCTATACAGATGCTGCAGAGCCAGGTAAAAGTAATGCTTCCAGTAAAGCACTTCTATGTATTTATTTGTTTGTTTATTTTAAACATCTACAATCAATCAGTATTATCTGGTGCCTTCAGAATTAAAATCCATTTCTAGAGGGTTGCTTTCCCAAAGTTCTAATTAAAAATATCAAAGAAGAAAAAAGATGAGAAGAAATGCTGGTATAAGAGGAGAAAGGAGGAAATAAATGGAAGGGGATGTATGAGGGAAATGTAGAGAACTGGCCTACTGAAACATTGTTTTTATTTCTTAGTAGATGCTCAGATGCTTTGTAATGGATCTACATAGAGAGACAATAGTATAATTTGCGTAAAAGAAGGTCTGTATTCTAGAATAATAACTTAAAGAAAATCATAGTCAATTTCAAACTCATTTCTATAAATTATTTATAGTACCTTCCCAGACATCACCTCAGACACTTCATATTACATATAATAATATAAAGCCCCCACCAGTAAACCTTGGGCATAATGTGGTGGAAGACAAATGAGAACTGATGATATAATTTCACAGTAAAAATTTGATGGCTTACAGACAACATTGACATTCCTGGGAAGTGAGGTGGAGTCCACTTATTCAATTAAATCTGCATACAAGTTTAGAAGACATAGTACAGACTATGAAACAAATATAAAAGAACTGTTCAAGCTGAGGAAGACATCCAACAATAATGCTGAAACCATGATTAATAACTTCCATAATGTTGCATGTAGAATGGAAGTCCTGGAAAAAAATCATATATAAAGAATCTAGCTAAGTGGAAGGGATCTGGGAACTCTCTAATTGAACTGGAAAAAAAATGAAAAAATAAAACTGCTTATACGAACACAACATAATAATGACAAACCAGCATGGGCTCTGTATTTGAAAATGTTATAGATTTCATAGGCATTAGGGCTGGAAGGGACCTCGGAAGATCATTGAGTCCAGCCCCCCTCCCGAAGGGCAGGAAGTCAGCTGGGGTCATAGGATCCCAGCAAGATAAGCATCCAATCTGTCTTGCAGGTGTTCAATGTAGGTACTTGAACCACCTCCGATGGCAGGCTGTTCCAGACCTTGGGGGCTCAGAGAGTAAAGAAATTCTTCCTTATGTCCAGCCTGAAACGGTCTTGCAGTAGTTTCTAACCATTCGACCTCGTCATACCTTGGGGTGCTCTCGTGAACAAATGTTCCCCCAGGTCCTGGTGGTCTCCCCTGATAAACTTATAGGTGGCCATCAGATCACCCCT